CATGATTTAATGTACGGTCATGGTTGTCTCATGTTGTAAAGTGATGTCCGGCCATGGTTGTCTCATGATGTAAAGTGATATCCAGTCCTGGTTGGCTAAATATGTAGAGTGATGTCCGGTCATGGTTGACTCATGTTGTAAAGTGATATCCAGTCCTGGTTGGCTAAAGATGTAGAGTGATGTCCGGTCATTTGACTCATGATGTAGAGTGATATGCAGTCCTGGTTGGCTAAAGATGTAGAGTGATGTCCGGTCATGGTTGACTCATGTTATAAAGTGATATCCAGTCCTGGTTGGCTAAAGATGTAGAGTGATGTCCGGTCATGGTTGTCTCATGATTTAATGTACGGTCATGGTTGTCTCATGTAAAGTGATGTCCGGCCATGGTTGTCTCATGATGTAAAGTGATATCCAGTCCTGGTTGGCTAAATATGTAGAGTGATGTCCGGTCATGGTTGACTCATGTTGTAAAGTGATATCCAGTCATGGTTGGCTAAAGATGTAGAGTGATGTCCGGTCATGGTTGACTCATGTTGTAAAGTGATATCCAGTCCTGGTTGGCTAAAGATGTAGAGTGATGTCCGGTCATGGTTGACTCATGTTGTAAAGTGATATCCAGTCCTGGTTGGCTAAAGATGTAGAGTGATGTCCGGTCATGGTTGACTCATGTTGTAAAGTGATATCCAGTCCTGGTTGGCTAAAGATGTAGAGTGATGTCCGGTCATGGTTGACTCATGATGTAAAGTGATATCCAGTCCTGGTTGGCTAAAGATGTAGAGTGATGTCCGGTCATGGTTGACTCATGTTATAAAGTGATATCCAGTCCTGGTTGGCTAAAGATGTAGAGTGATGTCCGGTCATGGTTGTCTCATGATTTAATGTACGGTCATGGTTGTCTCATGTTGATATCCAGTCATGGTTGGCTAAATATGTAGAGTGATGTCCATGTTGGCTAAAGTGATGTCCGGTGGTTGTCTCATGATGTAAAGTGATATCCAGTCATGGTTGGCTAAAGATGTAGAGTGATGTCCGGTCATGGTTGACTCATGTTGTAAAGTGATATCCAGTCCTGGTTGGCTAAAGATGTAGAGTGATGTCCGGTCATGGTTGACTCATGTTGTAAAGTGATATCCAGTCCTGGTTGGCTAAAGATGTAGAGTGATGTCCGGTCATGGTTGACTCATGTTGTAAAGTGATATCCAGTCCTGGTTGGCTAAAGATGTAGAGTGATGTCCGGTCATGGTTGACTCATGTTGTGATATCCAGTGATATCCAGTCCTGGTTGGCCTGGTTGGCTAAAGATGTAGAGTGATGTCCGGTCACGGTTGTCTCATGATGTAAAGTGATATCCAGTCCTGGTTGGCTAAAGATGATGATGTCCAGTCATGGTTGGTTGTAAAGTGATATCCAGTCCTGGTTGGCTAAAGATGTAGAGTGATGTCCGGTCACGGTTGACTCATGTTGTAAAGTGATATCCAGTCCTGGTTGGCTAAAGATGTAGAGTGATGTCCGGTCACGGTTGTCTCATGATGTAAAGTGATATCCAGTCCTGGTTGGCTAAAGATGTAGAGTGATGTCCGGTCATGGTTGACTCATGTTGTAAAGTGATATCCAGTCCTGGTTGGCTAAAGATGTAGAGTGATGTCCGGTCATGGTTGACTCATGTTGTAAAGTGATATCCAGTCCTGGTTGGCTAAAGATGTAGAGTGATGTCCGGTCATGGTTGACTCATGTTGTAAAGTGATATCCAGTCCTGGTTGGCTAAAGATGTAAAGTGATGTCCGGTTATGGTTGCTTCATGATGTAATGTCCGGTCATGGTTGTCTCATGATGTAATGTGATGTCCGGTCATGGTTTAATCATGATGTAATGTGATGTCTGGTCATGGTTGTCTGATGATGTAAAGTGATGATATAAAGACATCATGTTGTAGAAACATATTCAGAGGGTCCAGAGACTGACTGGGTCGTTCAAAATAAATTCCTTCGACAAATGTAGATGTCGAAGAACGTAATGGTTTATTAAACTAGAAATGCAACATAAACATATGTGAAGTCAATTGCAACGAGACGTAGAGAAACGTTAACAATCGAATGGATTGGAATTTCTGCATAAGAGTAAGTTGAAAAGGCTGTTGGCAAGTTTAGAATAGCAATCATGATCTCGTGAGGATATGTTATAAGTTATAATCGAATACTCATTAATATACCGAGGTATTTCCCACTTAAAAGAATGTTAAAAGGACGGGTTTCGACAATGATACTTACCTTCCCGGATTCTCCCTGGTATTACATTTGTACTCTCCTGAAAGTTCCTTAGTTTTTAGATTAATTTTTAAAGATTTGCTTACAAATTGGTTTTGAATTTTTAAAATCCTCATTTTATACTTTTTTGTTGACATACGAATTTATGTCCACAAACCATTAAATTTCGACAAGTATAATTAAACATATTGGTCTCTCCGCATCAGCACTCGGCTCATGGTCATTCTTACACCTCAGACACAGGTGTCTGTTTCAGTCTGGGGAGACGCCTGGGACTAGTTCTGTAGTATTGATATGTGAAGGCGGAGGATGAGACAGAATGTTTTTGATTGGTGCACCTGCTTCAGATGGTTGGCATATTACTCCACATTAATTGTGGTCACCATAACATTCTAGGCGTACTCGATGGCTTTAATTGTCTTTGTCTTTTATGGAGTATTGCCATTCTATCTATTTTTGTTTACTCTCCGGGTCATAATGATAAAGTTTCGTTACTCTTTAGCAAGACTCCACTAATGGCAACACTCATTTGCTCCGGTACTCTTTAGCAAGACTCCACTAATGGCAACATTCATTTGCTCCGGTACTCTTTAGCAAGACTCCACTAATGGCTACACTCATTTGCTCCGGTACTCTTCAGCAAGACTCCACTAATGGCTACACTCATTTGCTCCGGTACTCTTTAGCAAGACTCCACTAATGGCAACATTCATTTGCTCCGGTACTCTTCAGCAAGACTCCACTAATGGCAACACTCATTTGCTCCGGTACTCTTCAGCAAGACTCCACTAATGGCAACACTCATTTGCTCCGGTACTCTTCAGCAAGACTCCACTAATGGCCACACTCATTTGCTCCGGTACTCTTCAGCAAGACTCCACTAATGACAACACTCATTTGCTCCGGTACTCTTCAGCAAGACTCCACTAATGGCTACACTCATTTGCTTAATGTCATCTGTAAGCTTTCCAGGAACTCATATTGCACACTTGACATGTATAGTTTGTCATGAGGTATGGATCCATATGACAGACCCGTTGCTTCTACTAAACCATAAGAAATAAGATGGCATTTTCACATCAATACTTTGTATAAAATGGCAATGTTCCGGGTTAGTACTAGTTGTTCTAAGTCTAGTCACAAACTAAATACTCTGTGTCATGGTGGAATTCTTTCATCCAGCGATAGTTGCAGAAGAATGGAAGATTATAAACAACAGTCGCTCACTCTTGCAAACTGTTCGGCAGATTGACCCTTCAGGACTTAACATTTTTTCATCGCTTTATACTCAGTCTTGTCCATTTCACCAAATCCCTGCAGCTATCAAGTGGAATTTTGTAATATATTTCGTAATTTGTATATTACAGATAAAGAATAAACAACATCTGTTACATTACTATGCTGGAATATAACGCTAAAACGGTAGAAATCAAGAAAAAACAATTAAGAAAACAAAATTAAGGCTTCCCTAGATTATCTTTGAAAGTAAAAGATGAACAGCAAGGCCTTTATACTTACTGAAAGTTCTCTTCCCTCCGATTCAAAAGGAAATATAAGAAAGATAAGGTTAGGCTGACACAACGAAAATGGATATACCATATGATGTTGAACTGTGTGAATACGGGTGCTGAAGAGTTATCCCGATTCGGGAATCATCACCTGCTTTCATCTCCTTTACACTCAAAATATTTTCTCTTCTTGTGATGATGGAAAATGACCATCTGGGTTATAATGGAAAGACAAATGGCCAAAAATGTTTTAAAATGATCTGATATGAAAATTACGAATTTCTTTAATTATGGGGCTAGTGCACTTCACCGTCTAGATTTGTATTTTTCTTTCGAGTTTTGGATTTTCCTCAGTGGCCTCCTAGGCTACCTGTACGATGCAGTTTAATTCTTTGGTCGACCGACTTCATCTAACTCTAAATTTGTATAACAAGATGTAATTCAATTGTGTGTGTTTTGACCGTTTAGGTCCAAAGCATCACTGACGAGTCCTAGAATGACGAAACAGCTGTATGATACACTATAACACATACTTTGAGTATACAGTCTCTAATTCTGAATTTGAATCAAAATGTGCTGTTCCCTGATTGATAAGAGCTAATTGTATATTTTGGTAAATGGTCGTGTGAATGAATCAATGTGAAAAGAAACGCTCGTCAGGAACACTTTGACTGTGACTTTCAACGGCTATCAACGGTTAAATTCGTGAAAAAATGGGATTTCTAAGAAAATCTTTCAAACTAGTGCGATGAAATACGCTGAATATAGATTAAACAATAAGAAGGATTTCCCTCGGCCAGCTTAACAACTAGAAACAACGTCAACCTGTTATAGGAATAACAAATTTAGGTCCTTAGAACTTTTCACATTACAACTTCACAAATTAACATTAAAAGGACAAAACAAATTGTTGAGGTTGTTATCAATGCGAGAGCACTCTTTGTTTTATTTGGTCAATGAAATGGAAAGCTGCTAAAGCTTTTAATAAATTTATATTGACATTAACAAGGCTATCATAACAATGATGGGGAGATCGATGAACCGGGATATTGTTGATATATAGATATCGAGATTGATAAGTTACTTCACCGAACAGACAAGGTATACATATGAAATTAGCATGATCATGTTTTCATAACATGTTTTGAACTGGTAGGATACTGTGTGCTAGGGTTTTTACACCGCAGGACAGAGCTTTTGAGGACCGCTGGATGAAAATTTAAACATCATGTCATCTTTGAGAGTTGATCCCGTTTATTCAGTAGCGTCATCAAATGTTGGTCAGTGCGCGTGTGGACAAGAGTCCAAATTCAGTAAACAGAACCATGTAGGTCATCGAACTGTAAGAATGGGTAGGATGGAAAGGACTGCCTTGTGGTCACTAGTTAGCTTAGGGTCATTCGTTATTGTTAGTTGTCTGGTGATGGTGGTAATCACAAGGAACAAATTGGATGCCATTGCTGAAACCTGTTCTTCGGCTCATAACGTCAAACATGCTCCGCAGGAAATAACATCAACTGATAAAGAAAAGGTACGTCACTGTTTTACATACATAAGCAACTTTTACACCAACCTTAACACATGGTTAAAAGTACTCTCATTATGACGATTTTCTTCATTGTTATTCTTTACCAGGTTGTTGAGGATGAGATTTCCACTAGTGAAGACAACCAAAAAGCAGTCAAACGCCAGCTCAAAAAGAAACGTAAGGAAGGAACGACTTAATGTTGTGCCAAAATAAAAAAATGAAAAAATGTTAATTTTATCTAGATATTCATATTTCAAAAATAGGGAAAACTAAAACAAATAGCAAAAACAAAATAACAAAAACGCAAAAAACAAAAACAAACAAAAGATAAAGCAAAAATAAAAATATTTTTCGTAAAAGTATTTTTAAAACAATTTTCAAATACAGCATTTTCGAAAAACAGTCAGAGATTGTAAAACGATACACAAGTGTATAACACCTTACAGTATAGCCAAATATTGAAACAGGGCTGAAAAAGGGACATAAATCCTAAGCTGAATTGAAGAAGTTAGATGAAGATGGAAACATCATAGCGAGAAAATTATTTATTACATATGTGTTTGGTTCTTAAAATGGTGGATTATGAATATACCTTAAAATATAGTCATAATATTGTTTTCTCCTCTGTATTACATTATAAGCGTGCAAACTATACAATGTTTGAACACGACCTGATTACGCCTATCAAATCAAAGCTGATATCTGAACTCTATCTCGAGACTTTCAATATCTTCACTACCTCACGTTTTCAGAACACATGTAATATCACTACGCATGTCAATTAGGTCAGCGTTACTGTATAGAGACAGTGCACTGTCCTCAATCACGTACAGTTGACAAAGGACGTTTCCGAGAAATACCAAATAACAAGACCAAAATATATAAGTATATAAAAACTGCATTATAAATAAATAAATTTTAAAAAATCGTTTGTTTTTGTGTTTTCCCTTTGCTCTGTGCATCCTATTTGAAATAAGTAGTATCTCATAAGAAAAGAAGTTTGACGTTTCGCTGACTTATATCAGAAACATGACCAGTGTGAAGCGTGCTAGCGCTGACGTATTTAGTACACGAGATTGTTAGGAATCGTCCAACGTTTTTGACCGTACACTAAGGTCGAAAATAGTAAAAAAAAAAATATGGTAAATATATTATAGATAAAAAAGTAAGTATATCATGTCAATTAAAACATTTGTATAAAAAAACAGCAAAAAACAAACAAACAAAAACAAAAAGCAGAAAAACAAAAACAAAACAAAAAAAAACAAAAAATAAACGTGTATCATATATATGCCTTATACATGCATCTGTATAATCTGATTTCTAGGTACCCGTACCGTGAGGACACAGACAGATCAGGTGAGGTATATGTGAGGAAACAACTTTCATTGTATAATATATATATTATTGGTAAATTATTTCATTAAATAGCAATATTGATACAATTAAACAAAATGACGAGTGTTGATCTTGTCGTAATAATTGACAAACCCAGATGGAAAGGTAACGGAATAATAATGAACAATCACTCAATTTTTTTATTTCATAAATTGTAATTTCTCACTGATTTAGGTCTCAACTCGAGCTTCACATTTCGTAGCTGATAGTGATGGGTCTTTTGATTTTCAACAATTAGATGGTATGTTCTTTCATATTATCATCGAACCTGGTTTATGTATCAGCTGTTTTCATATTTCTGAAGATCAATTTAGCTAATCTTATAACGCATGTCATTCGGTAGTTTTATAAAACCGAAAAATTAATATCATTTGTAATATATAATCTTTTGGAATTATTTGAAGATTTCTATAATTTCTGCTTGCTTTAGCTACAGCAAAAATATTGTTTTAGTATGACAATTAATCTCAACACAAACAATGTTAAAGTGATACATTATAGATACTATACCAACCGTTTTATCAGCACGTAGCTGTATTTATCTGTAAACAATGTACAATTGTGTTTACTTTTCGTCTGGTTTGTTTCAGTGAGCTGTATACCAAGGTGGGATGGCACGTTCTGTAGAAACGGAACCTACTGGAGTAACAGTATGTCGTTATGCATAACACTTGATTGTGTTGGCGAAGTCATACTTAATATAAATAATTCGCGCCATGTTTGTTACAAATTAAGCACTTGCGAATATTTGTTGAAAATCTTTGTTGATTGGGTTTTTTCACCTCTTGAACAGCCAGTATTATTTTAAGTAGAATCTCTGTGTAGTAGTTGACGAGTACCTTACTGAAAAACATACTGAAGACCCTTCTCATGCCATCTAAAGTTATTAGGGTATAGCATCTTCTCGAGGACATTACTGTGAATTGTTATTATTATATTGCAACTCTTAAGCTTTTTTGTCCCTCTGTGTCTGTAAAAGCACTACAGCATCCATAACAGATTAGATCATTTGTAAATTATCTGTAAATATAAATGTTATCATAGGATATATTAGTTTATTTTACCCAACAGAATATCTTACAATTCCGAAGCAATACATTCGTTCTAATATCAGGGCTTTGTCATGCAATCTCTCTGCGATAAAGGGTTTTCTTAATGGAAACTATTCTAGAACCAGTGATATCATTTGATGAATAGATGTTTTTGAAATTTGAAATGATGACATAATATCATAATATAATACATTATACAAGCCATGTGATTTAATTTAGAAACTGGACAGATAATTAAATTCTTCGTCGGTGCTGACTGGATGAAGAATAACGATTACGGTATCCAGCCAGCTCTAGTCCAATCATCACCTGGCATGTTTACAGTGCAAACAGGAGGACTTCATCTCATTTATATCAATGTGAGTTTGGATGTTAGATAGAGTGAATCTGTTACATGCGGAATAATATATTTTGTGTGAAATAAGAAACAAAATACATATAATTGTTTTTCCTAATCAGAATTTTCATTGCTACAATATATACCAACAGTGAAATTTCTTATACCCAATCAAAACAATGGGAAGATAATTGTGATCAGATCAAAAGAAATGTATATACGTAGTTAATTTCGTTTATATATCAAACATTTTGGAAAGAAACACAAATGTCCAGGGGAGGAAATCAAGTATCGTTATGTATATATATTTTGACAAGATATTACATAACTATCTACCACTTATCTTAGAATAGAGAATGGTTCAATATATCTCCATATGAATGTGCAAAACCACCTGTTTCTCTACAACAAGTTATACTCCTTGTTCTAGGTAATAATCCGGACAACAGAAGACAAACATGATATTGAGGTTTACAGTGACCATACCCGCCTGTTACGATGTAGACAGGGGCTTGATTATGTCAGGCAGACGAACGATAGATATCTGTTCTCAAAGACTCGCACTTGCAGCGTTATGGGTCTTTTCTACCTAGAAGATGGCGCTGTCGTGACATTAAGAGTACTACAAGCACGTACAACACTATCCCTTGGACCAGACAGTACTAACTTTGGCGCTATTGTATATACCACTCATCCACAGCTCGATGCCATTAACGACATCAGTTATTTTGGATAGAAATCTACCTATCGCAATGTACGTAATGTTGCTATAAATGTAAATCCCTTTAAAATATAAATGTAAACATAAAATATTACACATAAAAACATTGAATTAGCTTTAAATCGACAACGACATCACTTAAAACAACAGTTGGTTTTAAAACAATCATTTTATATATATATATATTCATTACGTTCATGTTCATTGATAGTTACATAAGCTGTTTGTGCTCGTTGTTATAAATGTATAACACAATGAGTGGTGAGTGTTTTTGTACCTTTTGGAAAATTGTCCGAGAGAATGATATCCCATTACATATTAATGTGACCTATTTCTGCCACATTTATAAAGCTATTTAGAACTTGATCTTCTGTACCTACATGTGGTTTTGTCGCGTCGTTAATTTGGGCGTAATGATATCGTAATGATATGACCTTGTTTGGATTACGGCTTTGTTGATTTAACTATCAAAAACGTGACTGCTAATGTGTCTATCCTAATCAAAGTCCTTAAAATGGCCTTGGTTTCATTTACACGATTTTCATGTTCAGTGTTGTTTCAATTTTTAAATGTAAACCAGTTAGAGTGGGATCTATCATTTCAATAATAAAAATTATTAAATAAATATTTTATGTTTTTCATCAAGATCTCTTGGGAAGTACTGTACCCTCCATATGTACGCAGTTTATAGTCGAGCACATTCAACGGACGTAAATGAACCGTATGAATGATAGAACCTATTTCTGTCATTGAATAATGACAGCTTAAACTGTAATGAAAAGAAATAAAGATATTAAATTGATAAACACAAGTCAGTTTTAATAAAAGCACTTAAATGAAAACTGCGTACCTATGACACAATTTTAATAAAGTCCTTTTAAAATGTCGTTTTTTTCAATATCTAGAACACTATGTCCTTATATAAGCTATATATCAAACATGTACCTCAAATTGGTCGTACCTAACAAATTCATGTATGTTGACAGGCGAAGATAATTCTCTGTGCATAGTATTAAAAGAGCCATTCACCGTTAAACATTTTTATAGGACTGCATTGACCTTCTGTCTACTCGAGAAAAAATACTTAAACGTTATAAATCTTTGTTATCTGAAAGATGTCTATAATATAGCATATGCCTTACCATTTTAATCTTTTGTGATAATATATCCATTTAAGATTTTTAGCATTTGTCATTTACCTTTTAGTTTGTTTGATGTTATTTCCTTTTGGATCGCTGTGTCTTTCACCGGTTGATGACCCTAATGACCTTTCATGTTTTCACGGGTCGTTAAGAACGTAATGATGATAATAAGTTCAATAAATAGAAAATAGGTCTATGTGATTACCTCCCTTGACATACTTTTGGAAATATGTATTATCTTTATTGATACCGTACGTAACGAATAGAAAAAAAACATGCATTTTTTAAAAGTAAATTCGTGTTGCATATAGCACGGTACATATATGAAATACCAAGAACTGCTTTGTCGCACCTTTATTGGTCAAATATTGAAGTTACACTTTAATTAGAATATCTTCCGGATTAGGAAGTATCAAGTTAACAAAGCTATAGTAATTGTTTACATGAATATAAAATCACATAGCACGACTTGCAACAACAGCACGCGTATTTGTTCTTCACAGTTAAAATTTCGTCAAAAAAAAAAAAAAAATTAAAAAAAAAACGCTAATGAGATCCTGTCACGAAAATGAGTAAGTCATCTATATGCACTAAAATCAGTATATCATTAATTAAATTCGAGACGTCGGATAAATGACATTCTAATTGCATTAAAAAAAAGTATACAACGTTAAGCATGATATTTGTTTACTATTGTATAGTGACATAATGAATAAGGTGAAGGGTACATCTAATGTATAATGTGACAGTACTGACAACATAACATCTAGAAGCATTACTTTCATCATTCAATCAATTTAACACTAATATCGGATGTTTATCGTTAAATCAAATTATCACTCAAAATATGTAAGCACCAAGTCGAAATTTATTGTGAAATGCTACTTCCTATTACTGTTCTTTTTTCGGGACAGGTTTGTATCATTTACTGTTTGACCTTCTTACTAAGAATCTCGAGGCCATTCTTCGAATCCTTGGGTATATATTAAGGCACTGGCCGGGGTATAACAGTTGCACTCGAGCTCTGTACCCATCGAGACCTTTTTATCGGAGAACTTTAGCGGAAGTACTACCTTTCATATACGTCACATTTGGAATATGAACCCCGTATTTATCGACAACACAAGAAAAATGAAAACGAAAGTTGATTTTGATGGTCATCGATGCGGGTCCTGTGCAGAGGCAGATCAACATGCGTGTTGTTGGCCTCTTTACTTGGTCAAATGTACATTTTATGGCGTGGTATGTATATATATGCTTTGGTCAGCGCGGGAAATTGTCATCCTAAAACAAGATCAAGAACTATGCAGACAGGAAGGAGGGCGAGTGAGCGCACCTGTAGAAAAGGTAAACAAATATGGTAGCCTAGGCCTCATTTTCGTATGTTGTATCATAAAGGTGCATAATAATAGGTAAATATTAGCCATATACGACAGCTCGTATGTGTATTAAAATAGACATTGCATGAACTATCACTTCGCTTCCAGTTAAAATAAATGCATTTGATTAATTGCAAATTAATTTAACGTATAATTAATTTGCGAGTTATCAATGTATGTCATGATATAAAAACATATTTCCTCCCGTCGGCGAAATATATCAAAAATAGATTGTCTTGTTATCGCTTTGGTTTCAAGTTATTTACCTCTATATTCCAGAAAATTCAACTTAAAGATAACGCTGAAGATCTCTGTGGGTCAGGTTTGATAAAGTTTTTAGATTAAAAATCGATAACAGATTTGTTTTTATCTGCTGTTTAAAGCATTGTTTCTTTGTTCATTTTAACTTTAGACTGACGATGGATCAGTAAAAGTGAAAACCGAACCTACCATCATCAATAAATCTTTAGAGGGTAGAATCCAACTACATCGCATAACACGTGCCACCGATCCTGGTAAAAGAAAAAAGAAGTCGGGTACATGCCTTTACTAACCTTCCACGTCTCATCATGCAATTTTTAATAATGAAAATGGCTTCATTAAACTAACATAAACATTTAATTCATCATCAATTTTGATATTAAAAAAATCAATGCCTAAAACCGCTGGTGTAACCATTAACCATTATATCATTGTTGAAGAACAAAGTGCTTGACATCTACCCATCACTTTACCGAGTGTCTGTTTTGGTTATTGAAGAACAAATGGGTTATTGAACATAGCAAATTATGATGGTGATTGTTAATAAGAAGCAATCGATAAAGGTATTTTATTGTAACTATTTAAGCACTGAGATACTCATAGTGAAATATAATTAACAGGTAAAAGATCACGATGTGCTAAAAAGTGCCGTAAGGGGCCCAGAGGTCCACGAGGTCCACGAGGTCCAAAAGGTCCAAAAGGTCCATCCGGCGGCCCGGTAGGTCCACCAGGGCTTCCGGGTCCTCCAGGAGTAACAGGATTACCAGGAAGTGAGGGGGCTCCGGGTAGTATAGGACTTCCCGGTAAGTTAGCATTGTACTGATCTTGCGTTTAAAAGATAAAAAAAAAAAACGAAAACAAAGAAAATGTAAGAAAAAATAACATTTAACTGAACATAGGTAATTCAAATAAATATTTCATACTTCATACACAAGTTACCTATACAGCAATAATTGTACATGGTTTATTCACAAAAAATATCTAATAATTCTGATACTAGTGGCCAATATCCCTTGAAATGTGCTTCAAATATTCCAAAAATATTATATAATTCTGATACAAATAAATTTAACTTTCAATTTTTGTTTAATCGTTTCATTTCTTGTTTCTTCAGCGTATGTTACTACACATTTATCAAAAGACTTAGAAAGATTTAACAAAATGAGCTGAACCAATTTATAATGATAATACACAAAACAATAATTCAACGTCGGTTTATGAACACTTCCATAATCTATTACATGGTAGTGCAATTAATAAGTGATATCAAGTCATGATCTGTTAAATATTTGAACCTATTAATATTATTACTATGAACAATGCAATGTTGAATTTGTAAAAGGATCAAATAGCCTTTTGCCTATTAACCAAAATCATTATTAATTTTTAAAAAATGTTCAAAGACAGAAGGAAAACTTCTACTGAAAAAAAGGTAATGTCTGTTATAAAAGAGGTTTTTCAACATAATAATGAGGTGCGTCGAATGCAAGAAAGTGAATTTTCTTTCATAAAAGTGTTGGATAAACATTTTAATTGGAGATCAAATTTAGTAATAAATTATATAGTTTTCGGTAATATATTATTAAAAATAAGTATAATACAGATATTTGTGTCTTGAATACGTATTTATACAGCGTGTCTTATATAAGATAGTAAAAAAGACACGCAAGTGAATATCACCTTTTCATGACTTAGAGTGAGATTCAGTAGAGCTAAACAATTAATTAAACTGCATTATAGTCCTTCTATGACTCGTCAGTAAAGCTAAGTGCCTAAATACTATACAGAGGGCTATAACACACTGTAGTCAACACTAGATATATCATTTTGTAAACAAAACCTTTATAAACGATGTCAATAGCAATATTATCAGCTAGATATCAATAAACTAAACACCAACATAGCACATACAGTTACCACGTACATAAGTTCTGTTTATACCAATGTTTAGTATGCTGATCACGCGCACTACCAATCGACTTCATATCAATCTACTAAATAAGTAAAGTAAACGGTTTTTAATATACCAATTAGCAATCCATTAGACACAGTGTTTCTTTTCATTCAGTATTAATGATTTTGATTTAATTTGTAAGATAAATGTATTCAATATTCTAAACAGCGATAGATTATTAACAGTATAACAAATAATAACAGAATTGATACTATTCCACCATCAGGAGACCTTGTTGAAAACAATGAAATACGTTCAATGATATATACAATATGGACTGTATTTTTATATACTGAAACGCAACACTTGCAATAACAATACATCGTATAGTGTTGTATTGTAGGTATAAAGGGTGACAAAGGCGATCCTGGGATGTCGGTAAGTTGTAGTTTCAGATCTATAAGAAAAGGCTATTGTATGTCATTATATGGAGAACATAAAATTAATAAATAAAAGAATTGAGCAAGAGAAACACAATAAAATATACCGTTCAATACTTGATTCGAATTCGCTTTAATATACTTTGAGCTTTGTCGTCCTGTGTTGTACGGAACATAGAATATCTACATCTAGTAGCTACAGGCGATTTAAATAACTAAATAGAAAATGATTAATAAATAACTAAATATAAAAAATAAATAAATAATAGATAAATAAATGGTAGCCATAACAAATTTTACAATTTAGATGGTAAAGTGCACTTAACTCGTTCCTAAATAACTAAGTAATTATTAAAATAAGGCAATCCAACTGATACAGTCTCCGTCGCTATATACCTGTAGTATAGTAAGCGTAACACGTTAGACTAAATACTAGTATTACGAGACAAACTCGGACACATTCATTAAAAAAGAAATATTTAGAAATCAAGGACCAACAATAAAATCTCTGATAATATGTAAACCTTATATTAAACCTTCTTTTGTTTATTCAAGGTGACGGCCTTCGCTGCTCATTTTATACCAGATCGACTTCATCGTGAGCTCTCAAGCGTAGACTCTGGTGAGTTTAGGGAAATGTGAAGGGAAAAATGTTTGCTAAATAATTCAAAGTTTTTTAAATGAATAACCTCACAACAGAAACACTCTGTTATTTTTAGGTTCCTATGTTTCTTTATTTTGAAAAGTTGTATAGATGGAAAAAAAGTTTTCCAAGGAAAAAACTGCACAAAGACAGGAGTAGAAAATTTCTGTGAATTTTCTCATTCTGTGGTGATGTATGCGATATATTTTCTATTGAAATTTCTAAGTATTAATTTTAATTTTGACCCGTGAAAAATACTAACAGGAAATAAAGAGACATCGTCACACATGATAAGGTTGTTGGACCTGTTACAGGAAAAAAGGTCTTGATATTTTTATAGAGTGAAGTATACTATACTTGGAAGGACAACTCATACTGAGAGTCACTACGTGCTCTCCATTACATAAGATTCTATTTATAAATGTAGTATTTATAGTTAGGGGCGTTACCTCATATCTTGTATACACTTGTTTGTGTGACGTTTTTCGTTTCCCGTGATAAAGATAAGTATCATAATTATAAAAACTCAAAACAAACAATAGAGTTCATAGGACTACACATGCTTACTGCAAGATATTATTCACAAACCTGTAAACATTTCGGTCGACTATCCAAATAAAACTATTGTTTTAAATGTAATTATTGAACCATTAAGCTAACAATACACCACCATACCTGGTGCATGTATATGTGTATTGCACAACGAGATGACATGCAGCTACCCCTGGCAGGTAATATGTGTTACGGTAGAATGCAAAGTAACCATACAGCTGATAACCTGTCTGTTCTTGTTAACATATCTACCGTGACTTTGATATAAAATATTTAAATTATGTCTCACTGAAGTCAGTCTACAGACTAAGTTCTTATTGACGCACAAGTACAGACAGTATTGCCTCACTCTAGACTGTTTTGTTTTTTAGATATTTTTCTTGAAAAAATGAAGATAATGTCCTGCGACCTTAGTCAAGATTATATCTGTTTTTGTTTCTGTTTACAATCAGCTTGATTAGAAATATACTTCATTGATATGACATTAAACACTTTTGACCGTTTCACAGACTAAACGTATAAATCTCATGTTCGCCATACTAGACAAAACTATGTCATATTGTTCGCTATAGAAATAGCAAGTCATTGATGTACAATATTCATGTCTAGATTGTTGACTTGTATATAGATTAACAACCAGTATTTTATCTGTTGCTGTTGCAACCGTGTGTTACTGATCTCCTAATCAATTTAAGATGACCTTTTCATAAATTGCACTATAGCAAGTTTTATATCTAAACAAGAAACAGGTTCATATCTATATATCAAGGGAACTACAATTACTATCGAGGGGAATGACATTTTTAATTTCACGTTTACAAAGAGCAGGTTTTGCATTGATGTGTTTGTTATGATTCCTAATTTAGGGATTCAGTACGGTAAGAATACACATGTAATATATATACTATTTATTACAATATACAGAAACATCATTATAATTCCTTTTGGTATTCATTGGTTTCTAATTTTTTTTTACTATATTTTCGTTATTAACGCATGTGGTGTTGTATTTCCAGCTCGGACGAGGTGTGAGGACAAATGGGGAGGGAGATACTGTTTTGCCTCGTACACATTCTACAGTAAAAGTAAGCATTCTTCGCCAGAAGACGAAAACTTAACTTAAAACAAAAAGTAGATTTTGCTTATCTGAAACATAATATTATCATCCTGCTCGTAGTACAGAAGAGGAAATAGCATGCTTAATAATACATGTTTTTCTGTTTGTCAGAAACTAACCAAGTAATGGAGTTCCTGTCAACTCAATCCCTCGGAAACTGGATCAAGTCACCAATAGAACGACTTCACAATGGCAAATTTAGAGTGAAGTTCACGGGAGTCTATCTGCTCTATCTAAACGTATGTAGCTTTTGTTTATTATACAATGTTTGCTTACGTTCCTCAGTTTTATAAAAACAAAACAAAAAAACGTGGTTTGAACATGAAAACACATGAAAGACATCTACATGCAATGTTTTATGACGAATATACTTGTAAAAATATAGATAAAAAATTACTTAAAGCACTTGCCTGAAGAAATGTTTTGTAGCTGTTCGTGTTGTCACTGACCGCTGAAGATGCGAATCAAGCAATATGTACATAGATACCTGTTGATGCAGGCAAGGCAAAAATATGGCTCTAACAAAAACATCTAATTGTATATTAAATTAGATCTCTACATCAGACGAGACCATACTATTCTTGTAAGATAGCTATACTCGTGTCTGAACCTTACTTTGGTGACCTTTTGCAGGCCCAGTTGTATGTTTATGATGTTCATTATGCGGTGGCGTTGTATATTGGTGCGATTGACACGGACCCAGACCTTATGTGTTCGGTTGCTACGGAAACGATTCTACCCCATCAAGAGGAAACGAAATACAACAACGCTAGGACAAAATCATGCTCGACTGTAGGCACGTTCCATATAAGAGCTGGCCAAGAAATAGCTGTGGTCATGCAGGAAACACACAGGGCAATTCTTATAAAGGATGGCACGAACTTTGGTGCTATTTTACTAAATTCTGGCTGAGTGGAATATATTTTTGATGCTTGTTACACATGAATTGTATTATTGGAAAAGTATTCCTAACCAGTAGCATTTTAACGTATCTGGTTTAATCACCGTACTTTTTGTTAACTTAAATAACGCATTTTTCAGTGGTTATTGTTGCCAAAATCAATACACAGGAAAATCCAGTTCATGGAACAAATTGAGAAGAAAAACTAAATATTGCACAGAATGTTACTGGAAAAAAAAAGTATGAATCTCATTCAAAACAATGATATGATTTTGAAAAATAAAAAAAGATATTTGCAATATCTTGTAAAATTAAAAGTGACTGCAGGACAAATGCATCATTTGCTATACAAACACACCAAGTCGAAAGGAATGGTTCAAACTCAACAATTAAGGTCGACTTACGATTATCATCTAAAAAACTAAACAGAATATGTTGTTGTTTGTTACTCATATAACACGGATGACTATCAAGCTATTAAAATATATAATTCCATTTTTGAGATGTAGTTGCCATTTGCATCTCGCCTTGTGGCGTCATTATGACGTCATAATAAAAAGTTCGACAACACCTGACGTGAGCAAAAGCATAAAAAATACATATTAATAGAATCTTAATTCATACTCAAATTTTATGGAAATATTGTGAAATAAGAAGAAAAAATTAAGAAAAAACCCAGATGTTCTGGATGGGTAAGCGTCCTCTACTGCATTGACGACACACGCTATGTAGATTTTGATCAATCCAAGGATGTAATGTCATTTTTTTTATATATAAGAACAAGTTATACAGCTCAAATGATAATGCTTCATAATTCTGAAAAAAAGTTGTACAATATTTACAAAGAATTACATGTAGAAGGCCAATCACATCAACTTTAGATATATTTATCTATGGTTCAAATACATCTCCTCTGGAACATCTGTTCTCATTCCCATTTTACTTTTTCATGAGTATCCTGTAAATCATTTTATCATATTTTGCTCTTGATTGCACGAGTTTGGATTAGATTAAAAATAAATCACAGTAAATATTGTCTCTATCTTCACATTAACAATAGAACAATATCTGTTGATGTTATCATTTAATTATTTATCTCCAATTTACAATACAGTTGCGTCATTTGGCAGAATATATATATAAAGTCAAACCTGTTTTAGCGGCCACCCTTATACAACGGTCGCATGTCGATTACGATCATTTGGTTTGGTCCAGGAGGAATAAATTAATGTTAATTACACCACTTTACAAAGGTCACTTTCTCTGCTCTTTTTACCGTGACAGACAGATTTGACTAGAAGTGCAAAAGTTGAACGTAAACAGCAAAATCTCTGGTGAGTACTACCTTATTAGACCAGATGACCAGAAGGCAAATGGAAATGTCTGTTTCAAAGTAGGTTACCCTGGGAATGAAAGAAGAAATCATTTTGATTATCAATAAAATCACAAACTGATGAACGGTAGTTTTCTAACTAGAAATATATAAAAATCGTGGTCTTTGAAAAGATATATGTATTTATTACAAATATGAAAACAGCAAAAGCTTTTTCAACCATCTCTGAGTATTACTAAAAGGACGTTGCTTGTGTCAATTACTTTTGATCTGGAATAACCTGAAAAGTGCCTCTCAGTACACATAGAGGAGGCAATATCACGGGACTTCCGGGAACCTCTTATCGTATATGTACTGCTATCGTGAATAACATCGCCGCTTAAACTTCCTTAAGGATAATCACATATGAAACTATACCATCGTCATTTTATTGAAATGTTGTAATGTCCATCTCTAACAATGATTTAAAATTCACGGAATCCTCCCTTTGGAAAACCAGTGTTTCAGAAAATCAGAATTTCTGACTATAAACATAACGGCATTCTAAGTTAAGTATTTGCCCGCTGTATATAAGTGTTCATTAAATATATCGTATTGATTATTACTGTGAAAGATATGAGTGTATGTTTCTAGTTATGTGAGTGCGAATTAATTTGCCTAAAATAATAAGTACCGTATCTATGGTAATTTCTTTTGGGAATGTTAACGGCCATTTTTGACTGGTATTGTATACCAGAGGCTGACGAGAGTTTAAGTGAGTTTATGTAATCATCATATGATTTATGAAGCAATTGTTGAATAATTAGAAATATCAAGATCTTATAAGCAAAAGCGCAATGTTATTTCAAATACTTACGATTTATTTCAGCAGAAATAGAGGCTGTTTGTGAGCCGAGTTGAATTTACTGCTATCGTCAACTATGGAGGTGAAGGCCGAATAGTGTTATAGTTAATATAGGAGTCGAATCCGGCTTACCCGGATTCGTAAATAGTTTTCAGATAATTTAATGGGTTTAAGTTGTATTATAGTAATTCTAATTAGCTTGTATATCAATGAATTTATATTTGTATGGAACGATTTGAATTTGACGTTACGTTCGGAAGCGTTTCGACTTATATTGGTCACGTCGGCAACTTCCGGTTGCCACGGGTTGCCAGAATTACAGCCACATGACTGTCACTGACAGCTCTCGGGTATAAAAGGCGCGTTTCTTGCACATTTGCTTCAGTAGCCTTTCTACCGGCACCGGGTTCACCTGAACGATATACCTCAGTATTATCGGGGAATTCAGATTGTTAGCTGTACGGGTTGAAAGGAGTGTGAGATTGCTATATCTGTACTTTATGTAAAATTGTAATAATTATTTTAATTGTTGTCTTTACCAAATAATTACATTTATACATATCAATCTGGCCTTTGTCATTTCTTTCTAATATCAAATCTGACTGAGTTTACTACGCCCGGACAGTCAGCGAGACATTAATACACTCCGGGATAAAGATACAGTCAGCGAGACATTAATACACTCCGGGATAAAGAAACAGTCAGCGAGACATTAATACACTCCGGGATAAAGTTACAGTCAGCGTGACATTAATACACTGCAAGATAAGGAGAAGTCAGTGGGACATTTATACACTCCGGGATAAAGATGTAGTCAGCAAGACATTGATATACTCCGGAATAAAGATACAGTCAGCGATACATTAATACACTAAGGGATAAAGATACAATCAGCGAGACATTAATACACTCCGGAACAAAGATATAGTCAGCGAGACATTAATACACTCCGGGATAAAAATATAGTCAGCGAGATATTAATACACTCCGGGATAAAGAGAAGTAATACACTACGGGATAAAGATTAGTCAGCGAGATTATTACAGTCACGAGACATTAATATACTCCGGGATAAAGATACAGTCAGCGAGACATTAATATACTTCGGGATGAAAATACAATCAGCGAGACATTGATACACTCCGGGATAAAGATACAGTCAGTGAGACATTAATACATTCCGGAATAAAGAGACAGTCAGCGAGACATTAATACACTCCGGGATAACGATACAGTCAGTGAGACATTAATACACTCCGGGATAAAGATACAGTCAGCGAGACATCAATACACTCCGGGATAAAGTTACAGTCAGCGTGACATTAATACACTGCAAGATAAGGAGAAGTCAGTGGGACATTTATACACTCCGGGATAAAGATGTAGTCAGCAAGACATTGATATACTCCGGAATAAAGATACAGTCAGCGATACATTAATACACTAAGGGATAAAGATACAATCAGCGAGACATTAATACACTCCGGAACAAAGATATAGTCAGCGAGACATTAATACACTCCGGGATAAAAATATAGTCAGCGAGATATTAATACACTTCGGGATAAAGAGAAGTCAGGGAGACATTAATACACTCCGGGATAAAGATACAGTCAGCGAGACATTAATACACTCCGGGATAAAGAAACAGTCAGCGAGACATTAATACACTCCGGGATAAAGTTACAGTCAGCGTGACATTAATACACTGCAAGATAAGGAGAAGTCAGTGGGACATTTATACACTCCGGGATAAAGATGTAGTCAGCAAGACATTGATATACTCCGGAATAAAGATACAGTCAGCGATACATTAATACACTAAGGGATAAAGATACAATCAGCGAGACATTAATACACTCCGGAACAAAGATATAGTCAGCGAGACATTAATACACTCCGGGATAAAAATATAGTCAGCGAGATATTAATACACTTCGGGATAAAGAGAAGTCAGGGAGACATTAATACACTACGGGATAAAGATTAAGTCAGCGAGACATTACTACACTCCGGGATAAAGATACAGTCAGCGAGACATTAATATACTCCGGGATAAAGATACAGTCAGCGAGACATTAATATACTTCGGGATGAAAATACAATCAGCGAGACATTGATACACTCCGGGATAAAGATACAGTCAGTGAGACATTAATACATTCCGGAATAAAGAGACAGTCAGCGAGACATTAATACACTCCGGGATAACGATACAGTCAGTGAGACATTAATACACTCCGGGATAAAGATACAGTCAGCGAGACATCAATACACTCCGGGATAAAGTTACAGTCAGCGAGACATTAATACACTCCGGGATAAAGATACAGTCAGCGAGACATCAATACACTCCGGGATAAAGTTACAGTCAGCGAGACATTAATACACTCCGGGATAAAGAAAAGTCAGCGAGACATTAATACACTCCGGGATAGAGATACAGTCAGCGAGACATTAATACACTCCGGGATAAAGTTACAGTCAGCGAGTCATTAATACACTCCGGGAAAAGAAAAGTCAGCGAGACATTAATACACTCCGGGATAGAGATACAGTCAGTGAGACATCAATACACTCCGGGATAAAGGTACAGTCAGCGAAACATTAATACACTCCGGGAAAAGAAAAGTCAGCGAGACATTAATGCACTCCGGGATAGAGATACAGTCAGTGAGACATCAATACACTCCGGGATAAAGGTACAGTCAGCGAAACATTAATACACTCCGGGATAGAGATACAGTCAGCGAGACATTAATACACTCCGGCATTAAGAGAAGTCAGTAAGACAATCCGGGATAAAGGTACAGTCAGCGAGACATTAATACACT